GAAGGCCTGCGAGGACTGTGTTGTGGGGGAGAGAAGGCATCCAATAGAGGGGACGACGAGTCGTTGAACACAGTGTGCGATACTCTTCTTCCCTCCCAATTTTTGGCTGGTAAAGACCGCTATCCTCACGATACTCTCGATACTGACCGTAATGATCATTATGGATTTGATCTTAACCTCAGTAAATACAGCCCTATTTAGGTAAATTACACAAATAAGAACAATACCTTACGATCGACTGTATGGCCAGAACTGCCAGGAGTTGAGGCACTGATGGTGTGAGGAGTGCCTGAAGTGGTTGTGGCGATGGTATGACACAAATCGAAATCATCTAATGGTTTATTAAATGATGCGCTCAAACAACTCCTCAATTCATTACGAGAAATGCTTTTCGCAAATTCATTATATAAGGCTTTTTGGTTGCAATCATTTCTTCTATTATTATCTTCTCTACCATTAAAACAATGACTTTGTCTTATAGTCGACATTAAAGGGGATACAGGAGTCATATGTTTGGACATTCCCTGCGAACGGCATTCCTTTGCAATAAATAAATAATTAATTGAAGACTAAAACAAATGTCTTATCATTAATGGTATTATAAGTTTAGTAGAAAAGCATTTACAACAGCTTTGAATTAATAACTAGTCTTAAGGAAATACAAATTCAATAAAAAAAACAAAATAGTATTTATATTTAATCATAAATTACTTACAAATCCATAATGTTTTCCAATGGCTCCACAATTATAACAACACTTCCGACAATTTCGAGACAAATTAGAAATGATTGGCTCTTCAGAGGTATTAGTGGTCTAAAAAGTATTCCAGTATTCCATCAATTAAACCATAAATTAAATACATTGAGTGCTATTAGTCTCTCGCAGCAAATGATGTTCTCTTCCTCTTTGGGCCGTCTTTTTTGCAATCTTTTTCATTTTGCGACGAATTCTTCGCTGTCGTGACCTTTCGTTCGTAAGAGAGAGAGAGAGAGAGAGAGAGAGAGAGAGAGAGAGAGAAGCTAACCGTTAAGTGATATTTCCTCCAATTATAAGTGCATTGATTTGTTTCATGTCCTCTAACACCACATCCATCACAAAGCAATGCATTTACTAAAACCTTGCAATAAATTGTCTTATGAGCAGAACTGAGACATTTGGAGCACAAAATCGATGGACACCTTTCGAACCGATGACCACAACGACCGCATAGATGACAGACTGGAACTTTCTATCGATTCAAAAGCAAATATTAAGTCATAAATCAAAACACATTTCATAACAATTTAGTCATACCTTAGGGAGAGGGCAGTCTCGAGCCATGTGTCCCCTTTCGTTACAGTTATTGCAAATTATTTTACTTTTATAATATCTATTGGACTTATTAGTGGACACAAAGCTGTCACTGTAGCCGATCTTCCAGTCATTTCTATTGTTACTCATGGCGTTAAAACTGCGCTCCTCTTCGGCGCTGTCGTAGTTGTCTTCGTTATAGAACTGATCCATCGCTGAAATGGCCGATAAAGTCGTCTCATTTAGATTATCCACATTTCCTAACGATATGTTTGTCTGCACTCTAGGGGTCGACGACAAAGAGGCCGACGAGTGGTTCCGTTTGACACTTCGTTTCTCTCTCTTTTTGCGGTCCAATGACTTGTCTTCGACGACAACGATATCCGAGTCGTCGGACGAGTCGTTGATTTCAATCAAATCGATTTCATTTGTATTGTCGTTGAATACAAAGTCTTTGTCCATCTCGTCGTCACTCACATCCAGTTTGTGGTCCAAAAGTCGAAATAAATTATTTAACGGAGTCTTGGATTGGCTTTCGTTGGTCTGCGGCTGTAATCGCTGTTTCCCAGCCATCGGACTGTCTTTGGACACGCTTTCGGTTCGGGCATTGTCTTCATCGGCGGTCAACTCGTGGCCATCTGTGGCGTACGAGTGGTGTATAGCGCCATAGAGGGCTACCTCCACATCCGAGTTGATCTCATCTGAATTGTAATCGCCATTGTCTTCGCTGTCCGTCAAGACGTCCATCGGTAGTGAATCCGCAAACATATCATTCAATTGACGCTAAATTCAACACAAAATTCAATGAATTCAACGATAAAAACATTGTTTTGCTTTTCAATTGCCATTCAATGCGATCAACATTTTATATGAAATACACGTTTTTCACTATGTTTTTAATGCTATTGCCCTTTAATAGTACAGTTTGTGCCTTCTTTTTGTTCACACAATCCATACTAAACCAATGCATTGTTTCCACAAATTCTTTAAATGCAATGTTTTTTTCCCATAAAAATTGGTTTTAAAAAGCCATACAATAAATACGGCTTTAAATAGTTTTATACATTTTAATCATTATATCTATAAATAATACCAAAAGAAAACAATCAAATAAATTACAATCACATCATATAAACAGTAATCAAAATTAAAAGTGAATTAAATGCAAAAACGAGAGAAAGAGTACTGAAAATGGGATCAAATTGTGGGCCAAAGTGTGGATAGAGTGAACGTATAGTATGTTTGGCCCCAAAAACAGGCAGAGGTTGTGTTAAAGACCGGCATTTGTGTCGAGAATTGAAACAAAAAGAGATCACGTTTTGAGACAAAACACAATCACATCTGCAATGGTGTCCGACATTAAGGAGGATCTGAAGATGACTTCAATGAACAACTCTATCAATGGAAGTAATGGCGACACTGGGATTGTCGTCCGCCGCGGACTCATCGACGGCAAAGCGGATCTTCTCAAACAGATCGGATCCCTGTATCTGAATGAGAGCGCCAGCGATATCGGCCTCAAAGTGGAGGGACAGGTCCTTCCGGCCCACAAGTGTATTGTCGCCACTCGTTCCCAATACTTCTTCAAACAGATCTACGGCTACTCTCCCGACGACATGTCGGCCGGCGATCAGCGCACCAGCGGTAAGCTCTCGAAGGCGGGATCCACTCTCGAGATGTTTGGCACCACCGCTAACGCCTTGAAACTGGTGCTGAAGTACTTGTATTTCGGCGAACTCGTGGTGGAAGAGCTGTCGCTGGATCTGGTGATCGATGTGCTCACACTATCGCATCGCTGCAAACTCTTTGAGATCGTGACCGGCATTTCTGATTACCTCAAAGACATTGTGGCCATTGATAACGTTTGGACCATTTATAGCGCGTCCAACCTCTTCGACGAGACGAACCCTTTGGCCGACTTCTGTCTCCGCTTTATGGACCGCTCGGCTGTGAAGCTCTTGAATCACGACTCGACGTACAACCAAACCATCTCTAACTTCAAACTCCTGATCACCAGAAGTCGCTTCGAGGCGCCAGAAGTGGAGAAATTCAAAGCCGTCTATCGATGGATAAACACGAATCCGGAGATCGACTCCAAAGATCTGGTCTCGTGTGTGAATCTGACGCGTTTGGGTCAGGAAGAGCTCTTACAAGTGGTCCGACCCACGCATTTGGTGACCGACACCGAGATTCTGGACGCTATTCAGCCGAAGCGCAAACGCGTTTCGATGGAGATGTCGACCAATACAGAGGCCGTCAAACTGGAGGCCATTGAGTTTACGCCTAAGTTCACGATTAAGACAATGAAACACGAGTCGGACGGAAACGGCTATTATTATAGCATAGAGTTGACGGAAGCGTATGAACTGAATCACATTAAACTCCGTTTGTCTGAACTGATCACAGGAAAGGGCGAGTATTCCTATTATATCGAGGGCTCCGTCGACAACGAGAAGTGGACACGAATTGTGGACTATTCGAAGTACGTGTGCCGGTCGTGGCAGTCGGTCTACTTCGAGACCACGTCTCTCAAGTATATCAAAGTGATCGGCACCCGAATCGACGGCAAGACAATCTCCGACATCATTATCGACTCGTTTGACTGCAGTTTCGCACACAATCCACCCAAGAGTGAGAATGGATTCCTTGTGGCCGCCGAAGACATCGCTAATCTTGAGTGCGGCACTAGAATCAGGTATACATTCAGCGATTCCTTTGGCAAACACTTTGTAATTTGATTGCATTTTTTCTAAAACCCATACTTTTTTCTGTCTCCAGATATCCAATTAATAGACACGACTTATATCTACTGCATTCAACTCAACGCTACGCGTATTTCATTCCTGTCCGCAATTTTGGTGACGATCTCAAGAAGAATGCGTTTAACATACAGTTGGCTCAGCCCTATCTCTTGGACTCAATGGAGTTCAATATCTACCACAAAGATAAGAACGATTCGTACCGTTTCTATGTGGAGGTGTCCGCCGATGAGAAGAGTTGGGAACGAATTGTCGATAAGACCGATACTCCCGGTAAAGGCCTTCAGGTTCTCAAGTTTGACAGAACTCCTGTCTCTTTCATCCGAATTGTGGGAACCGCTGGTGTGGGCATTGGTTGCAGTAAGTTCTTGGGCTGCAGTGCTTTCAGATGTCCCGCCATTAGCGCTGCCGAAGACAAGTAGTCATTGTTTGCATTTTACATTACTTTCGATAATATTTTTAGTTTACTTTTTTAATTCTCTTTTTTTGATTGCCAATCAAAATGTCACTATTTGTCTGTATTTCTCAATTACTTTTTGGCACAATTATAACCAATCAATGCATGAAAGGTCTCTAATAAGGGCCAAACTTATCATTTAATCGACATAATGTCAGTCCATTTATTATCTAATCATTTAATATTTTTATTTTTGATCACAATTTGCTTTATTTTAATAATGATTGCAAACTTAAGAACAAATTGTTTGATTAATTAAGTATTTGTTTCATTATAAACATTATTATTATTTGAAGATCTTTTATATTTTTTTTGAGTAAAATGATTATATGTTTGAGTTTTATAATCGATAATTCATTGAAATGATTGTGTTTTCATATGATTTGTTTTTGCAATACATTGATTGTAACGCATGTTTCCAATAATGATTATATTTGTGATTCCCATTGCATCCATCGATTTGATTATTAAATACTGTATTTCTGTTATAAATCAAAACACGAATAAATTTCTTATCATTGATCCGTTTGTTTGACTTTATTTTTAATATTATAATTGTTTGAACGATTAGTGGGCTCTCAACAGATAGAAGGCAATTATGGCCGCAAATATAGTGACTGAAATGATTGCGATATAATAATCGAGAT